GATTGCATAGCAGCTTTACTATTATCAACAGCACCGGTTACTTTCATGGGTTGGTCTCAATTCCTACGTAGTAAAGATCACTCTGTAGGTGATGATATCCTCGTTGTTGACAAGGAGGAGGATCATGCAACTGGGGATGTCTACAAAACTGAACTGAAGGAGAAGGAGAACTGCTGTTCCAAGTCAAATGTTAGCTGGTTTACTGTGTTTTATTGCTTTAACCGCTTGTACTGCTTCATGTGAGATGGTTGTAACTCAGTAGTCAGTTCTTAATTTCTGTTTTGTAGCTGTTGATTATTTGGTGCTTATCTGCTTTCTGTGGCAGGATTCCTACTTCTATAAATAAATAAATAAATAAGTTCAGTTTTGCAAAGAAGGGAAAGAAAATAATGAGTTGAAGAAAAACCTGTTTAAACTCAACTTAGTTGAGCTTGCCCAACTCTTTTACCAGCCTTGAACTTTTATATATGAGGTTTCATATTTTAAACCACTTTACCAGTCACAAGAATTAGATTGGTAAAGGCCATGAAATTTCTTCACAATATACTTTCTGTACAATTTTAGTCAAGAACTCTTACATGTATTATAGCTCTGTTTTAAGTCAATATAAGACTGAACAATTCAGCTCTAATTTTAGTTTATCAACATCCCTGTTGTAGCTTGATGGTAATCAACCTTGTTACCTTCTCTGAAACTGTGGACGGGCACTGCTACTGTTTAATGACTTTATGAGATATCTTTTATAAGCAAGCGTCAGAAAATCCAAAGAAAAGAACATGTAGTTATAAAGTTTCATATTTTCTCACCTTTTTCTTTTCTTATTTCCTTTCTGAAAGTTTAGCACATCAAGGCTATTTGAAACCAAAATAGCTTTAGGCCCACCCTCAAAAACAATTTAACTATTCCAGCGATAACATAGGGGGAACTCGAGGAACGATCATAGTAAGATACAAGGTCAAACGATGATCATAGTAATATTTTGTGGAGTGATTGTTGTGTATAATTTGGATAGTGTGTTATACTCTCTGTCTTTCTTTGTCGATAGGGTATTGGGGATGATTTGTTCTTTGGCTAGGAATGTATAGGGTAAGGATGTTATGGAATTGTTGACAAGTCCCTAGGGGAATGTGTGTGAGATTTTGTGCTGGTCTACCCCTGTTATCTTTTGTATGGGGCATAACCTTGCAAAATCAGCTGTAAAGAGGTTGACTGCCGTTTGCTGTTTTGATCAATACAGATTGAAATTTTTTTAAAAAAAAGAAGAGTACCCACACTCCATCCAAATTCAACAAGAAATTAACAGACAAGTCACGAATAAATATTACTGTGGGTAGCTACAAAAACATAACAAGGAGAAAGATGAGAGAAGAAAGGGTTTTTGAATAAAATGATTATTTTTATATGTATACATTATTTGATTGCATGGTTTATTTTACAAAGATTTATGCATCATGAATTACTGAAAAAGTGTATCAGTACTTCAGACAGCTACGTACTTCACTCCATGGATAACTCAAAAGGGATATACAAAAGTACACCAACTCTACCCAACACAGGCTAAACAATAGCAAATGCCGCATGGAGGAGAAGGGTGAAGAAGAGAATGAAGGGGAGGAGATGCCCCTCCATGAATGTTACCTGTAGGAAAGCATGCCCATTAAGTGGGAAAAATGCTTCCCAATTGCAACAGATCAGGTAGGAATAACAGAGAGGTGTGTCCAATCCAGCTTTTCTTGGAGTTGCAGCTAAAGAGGGACCTTATTGAAAGCAAATGTTTGGAAATCAACGAACCTATGGATATTTTCTTGGATTTTTATTCTTCAAATTTTCTCCTCTTGAGTTTTTCACTTATCTAAAGCACACAACTTTTTTGTGAAGTACTTTTTATGTCTTAGAAAACTCTTTTATATATTATAAAACATAATTTTTAGATAAAAATATTATTTCAATAATTATCTTATTAAAAGATTCATATTATAAGTCATAACTTTTAAATTAAAATATAAAAAAAACTTTTATATCCAAATTTTTAAATAATAGAGTTTTCAATTAATTGATAACTTTTGAATTTTAAAAATATTTTTTCAATACATCACTTTATCAAAAAACATAACTATTCATATTAAAAACCACATACAATCTAATAGTCACGTTATATTATATTATATGACATAACCTTTCTATTAATGTGACTTTCGAATAGTCACAACTTATCATATAAAAAAATATAACTTTTCATTTACAATCTTTCATATGAAATACATAATTTTGAAAATACGTCAACACACTTATACCTAACAATCTAAAAAACAAGTCTTCAATGGAAATGGGAAACATATCAACTCATATGTCTATGTTAAAATAATGTTAAACCACGAACTTAAATGCAAGGCCAGGTTCACCATGCAAATGTTATTTCGGCAGAGGCAATATGTTACAAATTTACAAAAATAAATAAATAAAAATACATTCTTTTTCTCACACTGCCAATAAAAACTGATCGTGAATTTGCTTCCTCTCTGCTCACCTGATTAGCCGTTGCACTAGCAGGATCTATGTGCAATATTAACTTGAGGTTAAAATATTTGGTTCTTAAATCTGAGCATAGATCAGCATCTCCAAATATAGATAAACTTAAAAAAAAAAAAGAAATGTAATCTAGATTATAACTCTTGTTTAGAGTTCTTCACTAAAACCTATAAACTAATACACTATAATCACAGAAAATGAAATAATATTCTATTGTAATCCAAGTACTAAAGATTAGAAAGCTATTGGAACAATCTTATAGCAGTAATAGAAGGTTTCGTTGATACTAGTTGGATAATTAGCTCAAGTGAGAATAAATCAATGGGTAAATCACCTTAGGAAAAAGTGTTGTTTGATGGTTTTCTAAGAAACGGACATGCATAACTTATTCCACTATGAAATTTGAGTGTGTTACTCTAATAATAGCAAAAAATAGATAGACTGGTTAGAAAATTTTGTTAGTGGATAGAATTGCAGTCACAACAAATAGCAGCTATCCCTTTGCACTCTGACAATGAACCTACTATGTCTAGAACTTTTAGTAAAGTATTAGAATGAAAAGTCTAGACATCTATCTAAACATTTTTTAAAAAAAATTATCTAAACATATAAGTTTAAGGTATGAATATGTCAAACAATTACTTATTGATAGAGTAATTACAATTATATATGTGTGAACATATGGTAATTTGATGAAATCTTTTTTACGAAAGGGCTCACTAGAAACCTGATCAGAAAGACGTCATTAGGAATGGATCTAAGACCTTTTTCCCAGAGTCACCAATAATGAAAAACAAACGTTTTCTCTAGTACTACCACTAAGTAAAAGATTCAATTGGTAAAATCGATAAGTTAAAAGGTGAAAGGATTCCTATCTAAGTAGTACAAAATAAGTTACTTTTGAAAACTATATGGAAGGAAACTAATAAAAGATGTACCTATTAGGTCAAAGCTTAAATTTGATACTATTTGATAAATATTGACAAGTTTTAATAAAAGTATCTAGTAATTCAAAATTCAAGAGTAATAATTAGAGATGAACAAATGGCTGGATTGGGTAATTTGGTCCACCATACTCAAGAACTAAATAGATCAAATAATTTTAGAAAATTGACAATAACCGATCAAATATAAAAAAAGACCAAACCTATCAAATATAGAATTAATTTGATCGGTTTGGTTTTGGATTAATGAATCAAAATTTTAAAACCTTTTTTACAAATTATAATATTAAAACTTATAAACTTTACCCATAATCATAAAATATATATAAAAATTATATATAAATTAAATATATGTATATATATAATATATTATCTTCTTATATATATGAAAATAATGGCACAACTTATATGTCATAATATTTTAATTTTTATATCAAAGTTTGTATAAATAATAACTAATTATAAACAATATGTTATAAAATTTAAAGAGATAACTAATAAAATTATTAAGTATAATCATGTAAATAAAGTCTATTATAAGTTACAGTAATACTTATGTATAAAAATTAAATATACGTATATATATAATATTATTTTATTATGTATATATGAAATTAATGTCACAACTTTTATGTTATAATATTTTATATCAAAGTTTGTATAAATAATAACTAATTATAAAAAATATATTATAAAAACTTAAGTGATAATTAATAAGGTTATTAAATATAATCATATAAATAAATATTATAAGTTATAATAATACTTATGTATAAGTTAAATATATATATATATAATGTTTATACAATTATATATGTTCATAACATTTTATATTATGAAATATTACTAAGGGGTAATAATTATAACATATTAATCATCAAATATTTATTATCATATATTATAATATTATTATATAAGTTATACCATTTAAAATATATAACTTATAATTTTATATTAATAACAGATTTATAAACAAATAAATATGTAACTAAAATTAAAGTACTATGATTATGATTTGTACACGTACATATAATAAATTAATATATTTTAAGTATATTATTGATTAATTTTACTATTAATTTTTCTTAATATATATAATTAGTTTGATTTTTGGGTGGATTGGTTTAAAAATTTTAAAACTAAGAACTGATAAAAAACTAATTGGATCAAATATTTTGGATCAATTGATCAAATGAACTAATTAAACCGAACCATTTTACTTAAATCGTATTTGGTTTGAATAGGTAATTGGTCGGATTTGATTTTATTCACTCCTATTGATGATTCTTTGACGGATAGTGTTAATTTTTGATAGATAGTCATAAATTTATCTATAAATAGATATTATTCATTCAAAAATTTAACTATTCTTTCTCAAAAAAAATTTTAATATCCTTTATCAATCTTCCTCTGTCGATCAAACTTTTTTTGCTCTAAAACTCCTGAAACAAAATTCTGTCTCTCTTTCTCAAGAGCCATCAGTCTTTCTCTCTTTGAAAGCCCTTCACTGCATTGCTTAGAGCAAAAATGGCTCTTATGAATACCTCTCTTTTTTCTTCGAAGTCACTTTACAGCAACACCAATTCTTTTTCCAAACCCAAGGATCAATCTCGACCAACTTTTGCTCTCCCTCCCAGCAACAAGAATTCAACATCTCTCCCAACCATCACTGCTGTTCATGCAGCCGAGTCCACCAAAAACCGAGTAGCAGTGAAGGAATCATCAACATTTACACAATGCATCACTAGGAAATGGACATTGGATAGCTGGAAATCGAAGAAGATATTGCAGCTACCTCACTACCCGGATGAGAAAAAGGTGGAGACAGTGTTGAAGACCATTGAGTCGTTTCCTCCCATAATATTTGCTGGTGAAGCAAGGAACTTGGAAGAGAGGCTGGCGGAGGCTGCCATGGGCAAGGCATTCTTGCTGCAGGGTGGCGATTGTGCCGAAAGCTTCGAGGAGTTTAGCGCCAATAACATCCGGGACACTTTCAGGTTGCTGCTCCAGATGGGTGTTGTGCTTACATATGGTGGACAAATGCCAGTGGTTAAGGTTAATTTGATCGATATTCTTTTACTTATTTGTGTGTCGTTTTTAATTTCTTATCATCATATAAAGATTTTGGATCGTAGAGGTTGCTTTTCTACTTTACTTTTCTAGTTGATTTCGGAAGTTGGAACTGAGTCATTGACAATTTGTGGGGTTGGTTATTAAAGGTGGGAAGAATGGCTGGCCAATTTGCTAAGCCAAGATCTGCTGAATTTGAGGAGAAGAATGGAGTGAAGCTGCCAAGTTACAAGGGGGACATCATAAATGCTCATGCTTTTGATAAGTCGAGAATTCCTGACCCGCAGAGGATGATAAGGGCTTATACTCAATCCGCAGCAACTCTGAACCTCCTTAGAGCCTTTGCTAGTGGAGGGTACGCTGCAATGCAGAGGGTTGCCCACTGGAATCTTGATTTTATAAAGAATATTGAGCAAGGGGACAGGTGACCAAGACTAAACTTGCTATGGAGTTACGGTTATATGTCCTTTGATCTATATCAATCTATACGAAACAACAAAGAAAATTGCTATCATTTGGTTTAAAATTTCGCATGTTTAAGATATGTGATGCACCGTAAATTTTCAAAGAAAAGGTAGTATGGCTGCCTTTTGAGTTGTCAATAACAGCGCACTGGTTCGAAAGTACATTATTCCAAACATGACTACTAAATTTTAGGTGTGAATTTGATTGAGTTTGTGTTAAAATTTTCCAATTTGGATTTTGAAAGTGTTTTCTCTTGGGGAAATTTGACAGATACAAGGAACTTGCTGACCATGTTGATGAAGCCTTAGGATTCATGGCTGCTGCAGGAGTCACAGCAGACAATCCTAGCATGAAAACAACTGAATTCTGGGCATCTCATGAGTGCTTGCTTTTGCCTTATGAGCAGGCACTAACTAGGCTGGATTCAACTTCTGGCCTGTACTATGACTGCTCTGCTCACATGGTTTGGTGTGGGGAGCGAACCCGGCAGCTGGATGGTGCCCATGTAGAGTTTCTGAGAGGAATTGCCAATCCACTAGGCATAAAGGTATCCTCATTGAGGCAATTGAATGACCTTGAACGGTTATTTTTTGTCGTTGCTTTAGATGTAACGTCAATTTGTTATATACCATGAGTTAACATTCTGCCTGAGAAATCGAAATGGCTGAAGGTGAAACATGTGTTACAGGTTAGCGATAAGATGGATCCAAATGAACTAGTTAAGCTCATTGGAATACTGAATCCTCATAACAAGCCAGGTAGAATAACAATCATCACGAGAATGGGAGCTGATAACATGAGAGTCAAACTTCCCCCTTTGATCAGGGACATTGGTAGGGCAGGCTACATTGTCACTTGGGTCTGCGATCCAATGCACGGTAACACTATTGAGGCACCATGTGGACTCAAAACCCGTGCCTTTGATTCAATTCTGGTAACTGTTTCCCTCTATGTTGCTCACAGCAGTCAATTTATACAATGTTCGTCCCTGTTTGTTCAGTGTTATAAGTATTATTTTGTTTCTGATAGGCTGAGGTGCAAGCGTTCTTCGATGTCCATGGGCAAGAAGGCAGTCACCCTGGAGGCATCCATCTAGAAATGACCGGGCAAGACGTGACAGAGTGCGTTGGAGGGTCTCCGTCAGTAACTTATGATGATTTAAGCTCATGTTATCGCACACTGTGTGACCCAAGGCTTAATGCCTCTCAGTCTCTGGAGCTGGCTTTTATCATTGCCCAACGACTTAGGAGCAAAAGAATTAGGCTTTCCTTTGGCCTTTAACAATCATCTCCAATTAACAAGGGTGATATATATTTGTTAGTGAATAAATTTAGCGTAGTTGAAAGACATTCTTATAAAATGGTAACTTTTCCATCTTGAAAACCAAGTCAATGGAAGGATAAACCTCTCAGAGTGCATGCATTCCATATATGCTTGGATACATTTTCCTACTTACATGTCTTTCCTGTCTCTAATTTGACAAACAGTCCTCATTCTCCATTGTGGGCCCTAGCCACGGTTAGGGTAGCAAATGGTTATTTTGATTAATTCGATTTTAAATATATAATAACTGAGCTAATCGAATTCATGTTTAAAAATAATTGAAATCGAACTAAATTTTACAAATAATCGAATTAACCGAAATCAAATTAATTCAATTAATTCGGTTCGATTTTTGAAAATTGAATTTGAAAATTTTCTTTTCTTTTTTTATATATATTTATCTATGTTTTTTTTATAAATATATAGTACAAAATATTAAAAATAATGATAAACAATTACAATAAATAAAATGAACACGCATAAAAACAACAAATAATTAAAAAGCATGAATAAAAACAACAAATAGTTTATGATTTATTTTCCATACAAAAACTCCATTATACCATTATTCAAATTCGATTAGTTCAATTAAGAAAATTTCTAATCGAAACCAAACCGAATTAATTCTAATAATTGAGTTATCCAAAAAATCGAACTAACCAAACCGAAAACCCAAACTTAGTTTAATTTAGTTTGATTTACATTTATACACCCCTAACTTGTTGAAACTGAGGTCTGAAGTTGCAGAACATGGGGCTAGAAGGAGGTAGAAACCTTCACATGACACCACTAATCTTCAAAATACCAAGAAAATGACCTTTACAAATTTTAATGTCGTTGCTCCACCTATATTTACGAGAGAAAACTACATAATATGGGTAGTAAAAATAAAGACGTATCTCTATGCGTTCTATCTTTTGAAAATTGTTGAAGTTGGTGGAAATCCTCCTAAGATAAGGCAATCGAACCCAACAATTGTATAGTTAAAGCAGCATAACGAAGAAATTGTGAAAAGGTATAAAGTTTATCCTATATCATTCTGCTGTTTCCAACTCGACTTTTACTCGTATAATGGATTGCGAGTTTGCAAAAAAAGCATGGGACAGACTAAAGGTTGAGTTTTATGGCAGTGATAAGACTCGTCAAATACAAGTCCTAAATTTGTTCAGAGAGTTCGAAGTATTGAGGATGAAAGATAAGGAAAGTGTAAAAGACTACTCTGAAAATGTTTTGAAAGTAGTCAATCAGTTAAGATTACTTAGAAAAAATTTACTAGAGAGAAGAATAGTCAATGAATTCCTTGTAAGCCTGCTAGAGAAATTTTAGGTCAAGAAATTTTTTCTGAAGGACTCGAAGGACATGTCCACATTGATTGTGACACAGCTCATAGATGCTCTTCAAGCTCAAAAGCAAAGAAGAGCTTTGAGGCAGGAAGATTATGCAGAAAATGCTTTACTGGCATGCATAAGTGAAAAGAAAAATGGTGATAAGAAACAGGGTAGGCAAAAGACTCAACACCCTATTTGTTTTTACTATAAAAAATGAAACCATACGTAGCATTTTTGCTGGTGTAGACCAAATGCCACATGCAAGTCTTGTAACTAGCTTGGTCACGTGGAGAAAGTTTGCAAGAATAAAGCCAATTAGGGAGAAGAAAAAGTTGCTGTAGTTGAGGAAGTAGCCAAGGAACATGAGGCGAATGAGGAGGTGTTATTCATAGCCTAGAAACCCAAGAAGTTAAGAAGCTTTAGTATTTGGCTTATTGGCAGTGCGTGTTCAAATCATATGACTGGAAATGCAAATAATTTTATTTTCTGGAGTGAGAATTACAAGTCTCAAGTGGAGATTAGTAATGGTGAATATCTCAAAATTCTTGGGCATAGGATAGTTGGACTGCAAACTTCGTCAAGTATTAAATCTATTTCAAACGTTCATTATGTACATAAAACTAATCAAAACCTGTTGAGTGTTGATCAGCTTGTTGAAGAAAATTATACTTTGACATGCAAAGAGAAAATGTGTACAATCTTTGACTCCTCTGGTGTTAAGCTGCCGTCGGTTCAAATGAAAAATGTTTTCCACTTGATTGGTTAAAAATGGAAGACAAGGCATACTGTGATGCCAAATTATGGCATAGGAGGCTCCTCCATGTTGATTATACTTCTATGAAATATATGGCACGTGCTGGTTTGGACAAGAACGTTCCTAAACCAATCGAACAGAAAGATGTTTGTGACCCTTGTCTCCATGAAAAACAGACTAGGTCAGTATTTCCCAAGTGCAGCTGGACTCAAAACTACAGAAAGACTTCAATTGCTACACTCCGATCTTGGTGGACTCGATGGTGCTGTTATGGTGGATTTCAAAAATCAAATGAAGATTCAAGAAGCAAAGTGAATGTCCGCAACAAAGATATCAAAGAGGTGTGTTGAAATTTGAGGTCTAAAGTTGCAAAACATGAGGCCAGAAAAAAGCGCAAACTTACTACTTGATAGTTGCTTTCTACAATACGTTTAGCGCTTAAATGATTTCGATTTTATTGCTTTCTATTTTCCTTTGTTGATTACTTGTATTTAAATTACTCAACTTTAATGCAATGTTAGTTTCTTTCTTTTATTGATGGTTCTCTCTTCTGGCTTTTGAACTTTCTCTTAAGAATACTTAAAATTTTAACAACCATGACCATGCCCACAAACCTCTCACTTCTTCCCCAGTCCTCATTCTCCATCGTTAGCCCCGCGAGCCAAACCAAGGACTTCACGGAGCTTTTCAACTCTGTAAGGCATAATATTCATTTCACCTGCAATGATACTTTACCAATGACAATAACAAGAACACCGTCAAAATCTCAGTTAATAGAGTGACACCGAGTATTTCGGGGGTTGTTGCCTAATCACTTATGAACCTCAAGGTCTCTATCGTGATTCAAGATAAACATGACAAACAAATTTAAAACTTGAAACACCTTGCTTGCACAGTACCATTATCATATGGTATAGTCTAAATTCTTAAACTAGAAATTCTGATACTCTTAGCAATGTCATACAGCTGATAATACACGATACAAATTGCATGTAGGAACTAAAAATGTCAGCTTACATCCTCTCAACAGTTAAAATCATACTTCCTGGATGAAACCATCCATATTTGGTAATATGTTCTACCAAGCTCAGTCTTCTAATAGTAGGGCATATATCGCATTGGCCTCCTGAACCTAGGAACTTTCCTGCAATGATATGTGACGTGGGCAGAACATGGTAAGAGAAAAGAAAGAATGCAATCTGTGAACAGAGGAGAGTCCATGTGCCAGAAGAAACATACCCATATCCATAAGGAGAGTAGAAATAAGGAGGTACATAGGGCCTCCTGAATCGATAGCCCATATAAGTATTGAATCGCCTTGGACGGTATTGCTTCATCCCAGGAACATTAGTCCTTTTAGGCAAAACCTGAATATCACATGAAATACACAAATTTAGCGGAAATTTGACACTGAAGCAAACACAAAGCTTTCATTATCAGGATCATCAGGCTTCATAAGTTTCTTAACATTTATTAAAGAAAATGTGCAACCTTCAATTGGCGGCCATGTAATTCAGATTCATTTAGCACCAGAGCCTCTTGAACGGCTTCTGCTTCCAGGAACTCCACATAAGCAAAACCTTTAGGTTGGCCATGCTTGTCAGTCAGAATAGTCACTCTGTTCACAGTGCCGCAAGATTGGAAATGCTGCTGCACTTCTTCAGGTGTGCATGCATAGTCAACCTGCAGAATAAAATTTGACCCAAGGTTTTCGAAAGGAAATGTGAGTCAGACAGTAACAAAGGAAATCTAGACCATCCATTTTCATTTTTTTGAAGATTGAAATCTAGAACATCCATGCTTGGTTTTCACCATGTTTTCACCTTAAACCTTGTGCAGATGCTCAGGATGAGGAAACAATATGTTTGACTTAAGGAAAATTTTTTTGGGGGCGTCTAGCCAATGTGATACTATAGAGTCCCAAAAAGTTTTTTCACAATTTTCTTTATGGGAGTCTAGGCAATGTCAAATTCAGGTATGCTAATTCAGCTTGTCAAAGTATATCAATCTTCTGGAGCTCAAAATTTTACTTTTGAACATGAAATCATACATTTAGTGAACCATATCTATTTAACATGTCAATGGAGCCCCACAACAATCCAAACACCAAACAGGCACCTTTCAAACTGCTGTTGGACAAATTTTCCCTGTGAAATATCTCAAGAGTGACAATTAGTTAAGATATTCGGGCCATCCAAAAAAAAAAGTTAACATATTCCCTAAATGTTATCATGATGAATATAATTGTATACACAATAAGCATTATTGTCAAGTTCAATGACATTCCAAGAAAATCAGTAATTTAATCACAATCTTATACGGGAATAACCACCAAAATGCAAGGAAACATTAAGGTAGAGAACCCACAGATTAATGAAAACCAAACATATATACCAGAAAGGAAATGACAAGAAAAGGGTTCTCTTCCGCTAAACTAACTAAAACATTTTGTTATGTCTAGGATGCCTAAAAAAATGGAAAGACTTGATTCTTAAAGTAAATCCCCAAAAACAATCACAACAACAACTAAAAGAGTTAATTATTATGAGAACTCACAGCAAATATGTTTCTGCGAATAACAGGCAAACAAGGGATTAAGGGTCCACACGAAGTGAACAAATGCCTCTCACCACATCAGCAAAAATGACCACAAATTTGTGAGGCTCCAATGACCACCACCACCACCATCAGCAACGTGGTTCTTGCAACTTAGATTGCATACCGTTGACTTGCCTTTGCTCTTCAAAAGAACCAAATTAAATCCCTTGCAAGAAGTCGAAGCATGTTAAATCACATGCTACTTCCATCCATCCACTCCAACCAAGCTTAGTTTATTTGGCGCATGAAGGTGCAACTGATTAAAATTCCCTCATATTGATATTTTTCTCTTTCCTTTTTTTCATATTTTTTCTTCTTTTTTTTTAACTTTTCCTCTTCTCTTTTACATTTCTCTGCAGTTTTTTCCCATTCAACATGATCTTCCATTACTTTTCTTTTTGTTCTTTCTCTGCAGGAAAACATTTGACTTTTCCCACTCATTTTCTCACCTTTTCTTTTCTTATTTCCTTGTTCAAAATTTAGCACACACAAATCATTTTTCATGTACAAGGCTATTCAAAATCAAAATAGCTTTTGGCCCACCCTCAAAAATAATGTAACTATTCCAGCGATAACATACAGGGAACTCGAGGAAAATTAACAACCCTGCGATCATAGTAAGACATAAAGGTCAAACCATGATTCTATAGCTGAAAAGTACCCACACCCGATCCAAAGTCAATGAGAAATTAATAGACAATTAAATTGAAGCCATTTAGCTAGGCTATAGACAAAGAAAAGGAAGAGAAAGAAACAAAAAGCAGTAGTCACGAACAAACATTACTATAGGTATCTACAAAAACATAACAAAGAGAGCGATGAGAGACAAAAAAGGGTTTTGAATAAAATGATAATTCATTTGTATACATTACTTGATTGCATGGTTTATTGTACAAAGCGTTATGCAACATGAATTACTACAAAAGGGCATCAGTACTTCAGGAATGTGACCATAGCATATGCTGCATGGAGGAGAAGAGAGAAGAAGGGGATGAAGGGAAGGAGATGTCCCTCCATCAATGTTAGCTGTAGGAAAGCATGCCCATTAAGTGGGGAAAATGCTTCCCAATTGCAACAGATCATGTAGGAATAACAGAGAGGTGTATTCATTCCACCTATTTTTGGAGTTGCAGCTAAAGAGGAACCTTACAAACTAATGTATGGATCTTTTATCTGGATTTTTGTTCTTCCAAATAATGCTAATCATTATAATTCATATAAATGATAATTGATCTTGAAAATTTCAAGCAGACTAACCATGTATTTGATGATGCTTCAAATTTTCTACATGTAAGAACTGAATGAAAGCATGTAGATTCATGGGAGACACTTGATGCGAGGAAATGGGAAACATATTAACACATAAATCTATGTTAAAATGTTAAACCACAAGCTTAAACAAGCAATATAACCAAAAGAAAAAAAAGCTATAGTAAAAGACAAATTGTTTTTAAGAAACATCAATGAAGATGAGAATGCTAGAATAGGTTCACCATGCAGACGCTATTTCAACAAAAACAATAATGCTACAATTTAAAAAATAAATGAATAAAAGATATTCTTTTCTCACATTGCCAACAAAAACCGATCGTGAATCAGCTTCCTCTCTGCTCGCCTGATTGGCCGCTGTACCAGCAGGATCTGCGTGCAACATTACAATTAAAATTTGATAAAAGGAAAAAAATTTGTATAAATGTTAAATTTAGAGTGAGGTTACAAAAAATGGTTCTAAAATCGGAGTGAGCACAAATCAGCACCTTCAAAGCAATCCAGATTATAACTCTTGGTTAGAGTTCTCCACTAAAACCTTTATGAACTAACACGCTAGAATCATTGAAAAATGAAATAATACTCTATTTTTAATTTAAAACCATTTAGAAGTTTTAGCTTCGATAAATGCATCAAATTCAACAAAAATAATAAAATCCACAGAATAACTTCGGAATAAATAACAAATCATATAGAAATCCAACAAAAAAAACCTTGAACAGCACCCATTTCCTTCTCAACCTTGGCCTGCATTTCGCGGAGAGCCGCCGCTTCATCTTCCATTTCCTTCAACCGTTTCTTCATCTCATCCAGTTCCTACCACAATCAAACAACAAGAACAATAATAATAAGAACAATAATCGACGGACAGGATTCAGCTAGGGTTTTCCTTTTCACTTTTTCTAATTTACCTTGACGGCGTCGTCATCGGCGGCGGACATATCAACATCGGCGTTGTGAGGGTCCAAGTCGCCTTCCATCTCTCCTTCATCGGGTATTTCTCCTCCGTACACCTCATGCTCCTCTTCGTCCATTTTTGTTTTCTTTTTTTTTTTCCCCCGCTCTCTATCCGTCTGTCTGTTTTATTCTTCTGGAAAGTTTCTCCCGACTCAGTTTCTCCTGCAGTGGATAACTTTATAGAGCGAGGCAAGGATTCACGTTTTGCGATCAAAGCCGTACAGGTGGATGCTCAATGGTGGCCCCAGGGTTACCTTAAGAGCTAATCCTCTTTGCGAGGGCACTAAACGACGTCGTTTGCTGCTGATAAGATTTCTTGAATGGTGGCCCTCGTCAATCCTAATGAGCTAGAAGATGTCATTCTTTTTCTCAAAAATGGTTAATATTCCTAACGTTAAATACGTGCCTTAACTCTTTTATTTAAAAATAATAATAATAAATAAAGTAGAAGCAGCTCGAAAACGTTACAAAATTGATAAGAGTTCATTAAACAAAGAAATTAGACATGGATTTCATGAAGTTATATTTTTGCCTTACCATTTTCTCAACGACGATATTGTTTCGGTGTTCATTGTGGCAAGGCTAGGCTGAACTATTTTGAGACTTCCTTGAGTTGAGAAACTCCATGATCGGATTGAAACTGACGCATCTTGGAGTCTTGTGTTGATCCTGGAACTCATTAGCTTTAGCTTCTCGAATCAATACAAGACACCAAGATGCGTGAGCATCGCTCCACTCACAAAACTTCTGGACCCAAGGGCGCAGGTCTCACAACACTTCAGCCCAGCTTTGCTTCAATGAACTCTAGAGTGAGTACTCCTCATTGTATGGATTCTTTTCCGGTGAGGGGGAGGGAGGGTTTGAAAATAGCTGAGTGATTCATAAGGATGTGAGAATGTTTTCCTTTTGTGATATTTCTTCCGAGGTATTTTATAGAGGAAGATTAAGGAGGTGAATATTGTTTATCTGCAAAAAGAGATTGCAAGAATTTGGATGTGTGTTGCTAGAAGATGATGCTGGTTGGAGTTGAAATTAATAAGCCTGAGTTTCTTCAGTTGGCGTTTTTCAGTTTTTGTCAACTGCAAAAGTAAATAAGAAGAGAGAGAGAATTACCTAACAGAGAAGGTGAAAATGGAGGTGAAACAACCCCTTTACCCGTGACCTGGGTAGTGCCACTGACGCCATTGTCTGTTACTACATTTTTCTTTTCTTCCAGACAAACGATGCCATGCCAACATCATCTCTCTGTGAATCCTTTTGGCTTTATATATAAAATTCTGCCTTCTGAGCAAGTAAGAAATTATGTCTTGATTCCTGTTTCATGAAACGAAAAACGTTTCAATTCCCATTTTATGAACCAAATTGAATAAGTAATAAGTTATGATCTGATTGACTGATTCTCTTTCTATGAACATAACTCATCCACATTACAAGGTCCTGCTGTTTGGAGTGGCCGTGAGGTGGTTTTGTGCCTTTCCATGCAATTAATGGTTCTATTTATGTTAGTTAGGGCGGCCCTGGGTGTTGTGGGGTACAAACTGCCTTTTATATTTAGATATGGTTTCTGGCTATGGGTGATTCTTAGGTATTGTTCGCGTGTAAGTAAGCTGGGTTGGGAGAGCTATTTCTCTCGTATGTTATGAGATCCTGAGGGTGCTGAGATGAGCATAAGCTTATGTCATGTCTGTATCATGTCATGTTCTACAAACTGCCTTTGCCGCTGGCCCAAGGCCGTGTCATGATCATCTGCTCCCTTTCAAAGCCTTCCGTTGGAGCTGTGCTGGACTTCACCAATGATAGCTTGACCTCCTATGATGCATGCATCTGTGTTGTTGGCTCCTCTGGACTTTAATTGGACGCTGCTTGCAAGTGGGTGCTGTGTCGTCTGCAATATAGCTCTAGTGGCCTCTTGAGAATGTGACTGGATTGAAATCACGGTCAACGAAATCATGAACTGATGGATTGATCCATTCAAGGCTTGTGTGAGGGGTCTGGTAGGATGTTATGTTGTTATGTCCGGATGACGGGTGTTATGTCGAAGAGTCGGTGTTGTTTGCTAGCTATTGTGATATGTGAGCTGTTGCTCAACTCCAATTGTAATGCCGCACTAGGTCTGTTGCATTGTCGTTACCATAGACTTGCATTTTGATGTTCCTATTTAGCATATATACATTCAATTCATTTTCTTTAAAAAACAAAACATTGAACACCCATATATATAAGGGCTTAACTGTTTTGATAAATTCCTAAAAACATGAGACGATGTATAATCACCATGCCAAACAAGATGGCCACATCAATCCATTTAGAGCGGCCATCTGTTGCGAAAAGTTTCTCAACACTTCATCACCAGTAATATGGTGGGAGGTCCGCCCTGCTTGATATGTTAGGGGAAAGTAAATCCTCGAAATTCATTCTTGTAGAATCCTTGATGTGATTGCTTGTGAAATTCGATATATAGAGTACATGGGGTATCTCCAAAATGGTTTAAGGAAGATCATCCCGCAGAGGTTGTACAGGAAGAGTTTGCAAATCAGAAATGGGCTAATACCTTAATCCTCCATTTTCACACTAGGAGAATAGTTAAGTTTTATTCAACCTGCAGATGTAACAAGCAAACCTAGAGAAAGCCATAAATATAAACTAGTAATTAAATACATCGCAGCATTTCTTGTTTTTAAGGAGTGGAGAGTGGATTTTCTGATATCTGACTTGACTGCGTAGGTGCAACCGACTTAACCGCCATATAAGCTTTAATAAGAGGCTTAACCTTTTCAACAGTCTTAATAATTCCCCAGAACATGAGACGATATATAACTACCATGCCAAACAAGATGGCAATGTCAATCCATTTAGAGTAGCCCATCTCTACTTGCCAAAAGTTTCTCAGGATTTCATCACCAGTAATGGTGGGAGGTCCTCCTGCTTGATTGTTGGGGAAAGTTAATCCTTGAAATTCATTCTTGTAGAATCCTTGATTTGCATACTTGTGAAACGCAATGTAGTACATGGGGTATCTCCAAAATGGTTTAGGAAGATCATCTGGCAACCGGAAGAAGCCTCCATTTAGCATCATCACCCCTTGGATACCGGCTCCCGTTATGATTCCCATGAGAAAATCTGGCACGATACTTGCAACAGTCATCATTAAGCTCTCAACCAGCATCATGCAGGTGAAGAGCAATATCACGAAGTAGGCAAAATGTTCAAAACTCTTTTGAAGTCCAACCAGGTAATAAGCAAGAGCTCCAGGGATTAAAGAGATCAAAAACAAGTAGGGGATCGATGAAAACGTGTTTCCAATGACAAATGCTCCAACCCCATAATGTCCATTTAATCTTTCCCGTCCAAAGATCTGATTTCGAGGAGGACAAAGAAAAATGTCAACACTAGTGGACTATGAACCTACCATGTCTAAGTCATTATAGATAACGATAAACAAAGCTAATACCTTCATGTCCTCAACGAAAGAAGGGAATCCACCTATTGCCATGAATGTCAAGAATGCTGCAACAAACATGAGCATGGAGCCTCTAGCCTGAAAATCCAAAGGTATTAATCAGTTGTTTTTATATAATTTATTAAAGCAAGGATAGTATCTGTTAATCATCAAGTTACCTGAATTGAGCCAAAGGTCAAGCCAATATCATAGAAGATAGTCCCAACACATAAACATAATGCAATGTAGATTGCAAGGCGAAGCCAGTAATAACCTAGATCACGATACATATTAACAAAGGATCTCTTTGTAAGAACAATGCTCTGGGTAATGAAGCTTGCTTGGCTTCCCTTCTTCTCTAGAGGTCCTCCTCTCTGCAAACAAAGAAATCTTACAAGTTACAATTGGTTTTCATGGAGTGGGATTTTTTTTTTTTTGGGGGGGGCGGGGGGGGGGGGTGGTGGGGGTGGAGGTGGTTAAAATTCAACAGCATACATTTTGGGATATCTTGAAGACGTGCTGCTCGACTTGCTTCCATATCTCTGATGACTTGTAGGACTGGACGAGAGTGTCGATGACTTTTTCTGTGTTCATGCCACCTTTTCCTTGTTCTATGTCCTAATCAACATCAATAAACAATTTCATAAATTGCTTACTTATCAACTGCATAATAATTTGGAACATTTTAAAAAATAATCTTTAAAAATAAAATATTTTTAAAAATGATTTTCTTTTTTGACAATTTGGCACTGAATAAAGTATTTTTAACATGTTTTTATAAATCAAAACATAAATTTTTTTGTCTAAGATACCTATTTGGATTAAAAATTTTAAAAAAATTCATTGAAAACCTAGATTTATAAATTTTAAAATTTTAAGTTTATTAGTGTTTAGATCCCGAATTGATCCAATTAAAAGCTATTTCAGATATCTGTGATCATTTTTACTATTTAGTTTTATCCAAAATACCTAAAAATCAAATTTTTCAAATAGTCATTCACCCAAGCACATCAAAACCATCATTTAGTGTCTTTAAAGTGTTGGAAAAGAGAAATCTGAAAACGCGAAAGAGAAATTGGGAGCACAAATGGAGAGAAATTATAATGAATGATTTAATTTATTTGAAATAGTTTCAAAGTTATTTTTGTCAGGTCATAATTAAATATGATTAAAAACAGTTAAATTTATTTGATGATTATTTTTAAAATGTCCTTTCTTTAGGTTATTTCTCACAATTTCTTTTAATAATTTATCCTTTCAGTGACAAAGAACAGAAAAGTATACTTACTTCATCAAAGTCTTTGTTGATGGTTCTAAGATAGTGATCTGATGGGTTCCTCAAAGCTGGACATGGGAAACCATTTGTAGCAAAAAACTGCAAACAAGATTAGTTTGCAAAATCCATCAATTGCTCATAATTATTGTGCCACTTTGCACTAATAGAACGTTAGATTTTTCCATTTCAAACATGTAAGAGGTTGGACATAATTCGAGTCAAGATGCACTTTGGAAAGGAATTATACCTGCTCTGCCATTGAAACAGGACCAAAATAGACAGTTTTGCCAGAGGAGAGAAGGCAGAGATTGTGGAAGAGCTGAAAAACTTCACTGCTAGGTTGATGAATCGATGCAATTACAGTCCTTCCATCTCGGCGGGCTAGCGTGACAATGCGACTCATGACATGGTAGGATGCTGCACTGTCTAGTCCACTAGTAGGCTCATCAAGGAAGAGAAGCTTTGGCCTTGTTAAGATCTCAATGCAAATGCTAACTCTCCTCTTTTGCCCACCGCTAAG